AATAAAGCGTCTATAATAGTTAGAGAAACCAAGAAAACGTTGAATTGCTTTCAAACCCTGTGGTAGAGGCCACTCTATAACCGCAGAAAGCTTCTGGGGATCCATACGAAACCCTTTGGCGGAAATCAAATACCCCAAGAACTGGACTTCGGATTGGTCAAATAAACATTTTTCTAGTTTACAGTAAAGACCATTATTAAGAAGGGTCTTCAATACCGTTGTGACATGCCTGTGATGAGTGTGTAAATCTGTAGAATATATCAATATGTCGTCCAAGTATACAATTACAAATGTGTGAATAAAGTCTCTTAGGACGTCATTAATAAATTCCTGAAATACTGCTGGGGCATTGCAAAGACCAAATGGCATAACAGTATATTCGTAATGACCGGATCTAGTGTTGAATGCAGTCTTCCATTCGTGACCTTCCTTTATGCGTATTAAATTGTATGCACCTCTAAGGTCCAATTTGGTGAACACAGTAGCATGTTTCAGCCTGTCAAATAACTCTGTAATTAAAGGTATAGGGTATGCATTTTTGATAGTGATTTTGTTTAGACCTCTATAATCGATGCACGGTCTTAAATCACCCTCTTTCTTAGATACGAAGAAAAACCCTGCTCCAGCCGGAGAAGAGGATCTCCTAATGAACCCCTTTTCTAGTGATTCTTTAACATACTCCTCCATGATACGGTTCTCTTGAATAGATAAGGGGTACACCCTGCCCTTAGGAGGTATAGTGCCAGGCAATAAATCGATAGCACAATCATAGGATCTGTGAGGCGGTAATTTATCAGCTTCCCTTTTATCGAATACAGTCTTGAGAAACAAGTATTGAGGAGGTATAACAGTAGACAAAGGAGGAGTGGTAGGAACATTAATGGTATTTAAAGGGGTGACTTTAATCATACAAGAGTCGTGGCAGGTTTTACCCCATGATTTTAATTGTCCCAATTCCCAGTCAAAAATGGGATTGTGAGAACACAACCATGGGTACCCTAACACGATATGAGAAGAGGGAGAGGTGATAACCTGAAACCGAATGGTCTCAAAGTGTAAAACCCCTGTGTACATGAATAATGGTACAGTTTCATGGGTAACGACTGGAGTATTTAAAAGTCTACCATCTATGGCCTCAATGGCCAAGGGTATCTCCCTTTCTCTGACGGGAATGTTATTTTTCGTAACAAACTCAGAGTCAATGAAGTTCTCAGCAGCCCCAGAATCAACCAAGGCTAGTATGCATTCTGCTATACAACTCACCCCCGTATGAAGGGAAACAGGGAGAAGCAAACGATTAGGAGGCAATTTAGGAGACTTAGAGATCACACCCAAGGCCAGTCCCCTATAAGGTCTTAGGTGCGAGAGTTTTCCGGACGCAAAGGACATTCCCTTACCATATGGTCTCGCCTACCACAGTATAGGCAGAGTCCATTCCTTCTTCTAAGTAGTTTTTCAGTATCCGAGAGTTTGGCAACCCCTAATTGCATGGGTTCCTCCTCGGATACTTTAACACTCTCAGGTTTATCAACTCTGGGGTTAATAGATGTGACCAGACGTCTATTCTTGTTTTTGGTATAGAGCCTGTCGCGAATTCTATTATCTATATCAATGAGGTAGTCAATAAGATCCTCTAATGGAATAGGAAGCTCCCTTGCCACTACCTCATCTAATATAGTGTCAGATAAACCTTCCATGAACGCAGTAGTTAACCCATTATTGGTCCAATCTACCTGTGAAGCAAGGGTACGAAACTGAATAGCATAATCCGCCACAGACCTAGACCCCTGTTTAATCCTCATTAATGCTCTTGCGGCATTCTTTGACCTCTTTGTTGTGTCAAAAGTTCTACGAAAAGCCGTAAGAAAACTATTGAAATCATGAACCATAGGTCCATTGGCCTCCCAAATAGGATTTGCCCACTCTAGTGCTTTGTCGGTAAGTTGATGCATCAAAAACCCCACTTTAGACCTATCAGTGGGAAAGGAATGAGGATACATCTCAAGGTGGAATTCTATTTGATTAATAAAACCTCTGCATGTCTTGGCTTCCCCTCCATACCTAGGAGGAGGTGTTAAATGGGGCGAAGAATTGGGTGAATTGGATACTTCGGGAGGATGAGGTGTAGGAGGGTTAGGTGCGGTTGCAGGAATGGTTCTAGACAAGAGCGTCTGGAGAGCCTGTGCTATCTGATCCATACGGTGATCCTGCTCTACAAACCTTGCCTCATGAGAAGCCATTTGCTGAGCCAAATCTGCGGGGTCCATGGCCCTATCGTAATGTAACGAGAATATACCCCAACACGCAGGATTCAGCTAAACAGAAGACAACACAGAGGAGAGATACGTCTACCGGACCTTAGAATGGCCGGACTCGACGTATATGAGAGGAGACAGAGTCAGGAACGATCCGAAATCAAGGGCACAGAGAGACAGCGTAAACTAGGACAAGCCGGGGTCTGGTACACAGTAAACAACAAGCCGACAACCAGAACAGATAAGGATAAAGAGAAAACGTAGTCAGAAACAAAGCCAAGGTCAATACGGAGAAACACAACTGAACACAACAAGCGCTAAAGGGAACTGATACAGAAACCACTATAGGGCAGGGAGTAAAGGGAGAGGTAAGTTTAAATAGCTTCAAAACTAATGTGATTGGCTCCTGTCATATCCACACCCCCAAAAGGTAAGTGTATGGGGAGTGTGGCATGACAGGGGCCAATGGGAGCCTTTTGATAATTTAGGCTCCCACTGTCTCTTTAAGAGCGCGCCCGAGACTCGCGGCGCGCTCTTAGATTCAGGCGGGACACGTGACCGCTTCTCGCGGTCACTGCCCGCCTTGCTAGTGGAGCCGTCGGATGAGCCGCGCGCGGCTCGTGCAGCAGCAGGACCGCGCGCGGCTTGAAGAGAGGACCGCGGCCGGCCCCTGGAGAAGGTGAGTAACGCTACAGTTGTGTGTGTCAGTGTTAGCTCTCTGTAGTGAGATGTGTGTAGTGAGCTTGTCTTTGTGCATGCATGTGCAAAAACCAACATTTTGAATAATAAAATATATATATATATATATATATATATATATATATATTAAGGGGCCCAAGAGGTAATTTTGCCCAGAAGGATGTCAGTCCGTCCCTGGATGGGGGGCACTATAGGGTTAGATAGTGGGCATTATAGGGGCACTATAAGGGTAGATGGAGAGCAGGGGCAGTGGGGGGGGGAACTAGGGGTAGTTGGGGGGAGCAGGGGCACTATAGGGGTAAATAGGGGGCACTATAGGGGTAGATGGGGAACAGGGGCACTATAGGGGTAGATAGGGGGAGCAGGGGCACTATAGGGGTAGATGGGGGCAGAGAGAGAGAAAAAAACTAATGTGATATTGCAAAGCCTGCAATATTCTAAACAGACATTAAATTAAATTTAAAAAAATAATAAATTAAAAAATTTGAAGACAAAAAATGTGATTACGCTCTGATATATAAACCCACATTGCATGTAACATATCTGCTAAATGAAAAGTATAATTAGCCCCCTCTCATCTATTTTATAGGATCTTTACTTTTCTGTAATCACCTTCAAAGGGGCCTTTGAAACTGGGAGGCTGAGGGGGGTGCTCATCCCAAAAGGAATCTGATACCAGACTCCAGAAAACAAAAAGGAAGAAAAGGAATCATGAGAACACCCATAACATGCATGTTTGTATATAATCTTAATTTATAGATAATATATGCCTTAAAGACATACAGGATTTTTAAATAAATATGCAGGTATCTTTAAAAGTAAATCAATGTAAGGAAGAAAAGAGAAAAATGTGTTAAACAGATTTAAGTACAAGTACTTGAAATGAACTTTACAGAATCCATTTACAACAGGCAGATTTAGTATAAATGCAAAGTTGTTTTTTTCATTGATTATTGGCCAAGAAATTTCTGAACATATTCAGAATTTTTGGGAGCAGCAGAACTTTATTTATCTAACAAGTAAAGACAGCAAATTGCAATGGACACCATTACAATATTGCTTTGCCGATTGATGTCAGGGCTTTAAAGAATAAATATATAAATGTTCTATAGCTCGCTAGACCACTGGCTTTTAATGAACAGTTGGCACAACACTTATAAAATATTTTGTTATACTGCACATTATAGCTGTGACAAACAACATCATCAGAATTTCCAGTTTTTAGCCAATCCAATGCATTTGATTGGCTGAAATTGGCAAGGAGGCAGGATGGTGGCAGGGCCAAACGCCATTTTGGACAATCATTAAAAGTGCAAATACAGTGATAAAACAAAATGAGGTGCACTCAAAAACTATACTTGGCAACCAAAAATAAAGAATTATAAAAAAACAAACTATACTTGGCAGTTGATGTCCACAAAATAATGATGCACTTGAAAAATAAAACATATAGGGGTAGATGGGGGCATAACAATAATTATGCAGATCAATAAAATAATGATATAAAAATGTATAATAGAATGTCAAAGTAATATAATGAAAAATTATAAAATAGTATGTGTGTCAATATTTATGAAAAATTAGAACATTAGAAAAAAGGCAAAATTGGTTAGTTTTGCAGATATAACTTATTGTAACATCAATTACAGTAGTACCAACTACAGTTCATCCTCATCTTCTGATGAGAATGTCTGATCCTGTTTTTATAATTGAAATTTCTCTTTGCGTCCAGATAAAACCGGTTCAAATATAACTGAAACTTGTATTAGTTACATCAAACTGGTAGTTTCCCCCTGGGACACTAAGGAAGGGGGAGCATGACTGCTGCCCAAGATTGTGGGCTGAGTCAAGAAGGTTACAATTGTAGCAAAGTTGGGGTTCTTAAGGAAGGGGAGAGGGAGGGGACTTACCAGTCGGCAGGATCAGTTGAGGGCTCCTGACTGTTTTCCTGGCTGACTGTCCCCTGTAATACAAGCATTACAAACTTTATTTCAACAGTTCACCGGTGATCCCTTCCCTGTTCCTGTTTACACTGCTGCCCCTGTCATGGCTGCCCCTGAAGCTGACTTGCAGAGGCTCCTGCAATCCTACCTGGAGGTCCACGGCCAGGGTGCCCTGGATGAGCTGGTGTCAGACGTGAGGATCATTGGCCCTGCTGATGGAGGGATTTCCGGTCAGCCTGCAGTTCCTGGTGAGCGGAGGGCCAGGAGATCGAGGTCTCCGTTGCGCCTGTCTCCAAGCCCAGTGCGGCAGAGCGAGCGGAGAAGAAGTGGCGGCCCGGTCGTGCACCCTGAGCGGCCATCTGTATCTGGGCGACGGCGTACTCGGGCTGGTGAGGTTCGCGGTGTCCAGGCCCAAGATGGCGGCGGCAGTAATGGCGCAGGTATGGCCGGGAGATCTCTTCCGGTCCAACTGGAAGTGTCGTCATCAGGCACGCCATGCGGCATGCGCATGTCGGAGGTCAATGTCATCCAGCAAGGCGAGTACGTGACGGCATCGCACAGGAGAGTGCGGCCGTCACAGGCCTTGCATTCCACCGTGGTTGCGCCGGTGGTTGAGCCGGCGGGCGGAAGGAGGATGTCCAGCAGTGGAGTGCGGTTGGGCCTGGATGCTGGCTGCGGGTCCCCCCCTTAACTCTCCTGGGTCCAGTTCCGGTTCAGAAGAGGAGGACACGGTGGTGCAAGCCCAGCATCCTCAGGCAGCTAACAGTGAGTACTGTGCCAGCATTTGGGATGCGCTGGCTGGGGCTAAGGGAAGGGACATGGGTAGTGTGTTACAAAGGTAGGAGGTGCTGGGGTTGCTAGGCTAGTGTTAGATAGGCTCCCTGTGGGGGGCTCCTGCTTGCGCTCTCCCTGCCCAGTCCTATGACCAGGATAGGGGCTTGTTGAGTGTGCACCCAGGGGGGGCGCGGGGGTTCTTGCCAGGCTGCGAGCTGTCCCCCCTGGGGATGCATGTGGCTCTGGACATTAAGGAGAAAATTATAAAGGGTGACTACTTGGATTTACTGTCTCTGGTCCCCCCGGACCGGGAGACAGTGTATAGACCGAGTCGGGGGACAAGGCGAAAGGTGCTGCGGACGCTTGGGAACTGGCTGCAAGGGTTTGCAATTTTTGCAAGCGTTTTGGCGCAAGCTTTTCCTGAGAAGGCACCAGCGTTATTTGGGTACCTAGACCTGATTTGGGGGGCTTATAAGGTTTATGGGGGTCAATGTTGGTTTCGGCATGACCAACAATTTTGCCAGAAGATGGCGGTGTGTCCTGGCATGGACTTTGGAATCCGGGACAGGAGCCTTTGGCTCTTGCTGATTACCCCCAGTCATGACTGGGCAGCGCAAGGAAGTATGTTGGCTCTTTAACGAGAGCCACTGCAAGTGGTTTGGATCCTGTCGATTCAAGCACGGGTGCTCCCATTGTGGAGGTGCCCACCCTGCGCTGCGGTGCTTCAAGAAAGTCAAGCAAAGTGGGAGATCCGCTAGGGAGAGCGTTCCTAGAGCGGAGGATGCCGGTGAACGTGGAAAGGATGCGCCCGGCACCCCAAGTGTAAGGAGGCTCAGGTTTTGGAGGAGGGGTTTTCCGGAAGGTTTTGGATTCCGTTTGTCCATTCGCCGTCGTTGGCTGACAATCTGCGCTCGGTTGTGGGTAAAGAAGCGATTTTAAAGGATAAGCTTAGTAAGGAAGTTCGTTTGGGTAGGATGGCTGGTCCGTTCGACTCCTTGCCATTTTACAATTTACAGGTCTCCCCCTTGGGGTTGGTGCCCAAGAAGGACCCAGGGTCTTTTCGTCTCATTCATCACCTGTCCTACCCGTCGGGCAGGTCGGTGAATGATGACATTGATATGGAGGATTCGCATGTCGATACGCCTTCTTTGATTGGGCATTAGTGTTGGTTCGGGAGGCGGGGATGGGAGCTCAGTTGGCCAAGTTGGACATTGAGTCCGCCTTTTGGCTGTTCCCGGTCCACCCTGACTGTTTTCACTTGTTGGGTTGTCAGTTTCACGGTTTCTTCTTCTTCGATATGTGTTTGCCAATGGGTTGCGCTATTTCTTGTTCTTATTTTCAAATGTTTGCATCGTTTCTTGAATGGGTGGTCTCTCGGGTTTTGGGTCTGTCGTCTCTTACGCACTATCTGGATGATTTTCTGTTTGTGGGCCCACGGGAGTCAAACGACTGCGCGGAGCTCTTGGATTGCTTTCGTGCGGTCGCTTCGGACTTTGGAGTCCCGATAGCAGAAGAGAAGACAGTGGGGCCGGTAGGGGTTTTGTCCTATTTGGTGATTGAGGTGGATACGCAGATCATGGTTTTTCGGTTGCCAGATGAAAAACTGAGCCACTTGCTCCATTTAGTGGACTCGGTGAAAGGGGCTAAGAAAGTGCATCTTCGGCAGTTACAGGTCTTATTGGGGCATCTGAATTTTGCCTGTCGTGTTTTATCGATGGGTAGGGCGTTTTGTCATCGTTTGTCCTTGTCAACGGTCGGAGTTAAGCAGCCTTTCCACTTTATTCGGATCAATCGGCGGCATTGGGGGGATCTTCAGGTGTGGAGTTCCTTTTTGGGTAGGTATAACGGGCAATCCTGCTGGCTTAGCCCGGCAGTGTCCAACGGAGTTTGGAGTTGTACACCGATACGTCCGGCTCTGTGGGCTTTGGTACCTACATTCAGGGACACAGGTGCGCGGAAGCATGGCCCCGCCAATGGCAAGAGACTGATTTGTTGGGCAATTTAATGTTCCTGGAGCTCTTCCCCATAGTAGTGGCAGTGGAGCTATGGGGTGTAGAGTTGGCGAATCGGAAGGTGGTTGTGCACACGGACAAGATTAGTGTGGTTCAACCACTCCACGTCTGCGTCCCCTCCAGTGTTGGTGCTCCTCAGGTGCCTGGTCTTGCTTAGTTTATCGCATAATTTGTGGCTAGTTGCACGTCATGTGCCTGGGGAGTTAACCGTTATAGCCGACTCTCTTTCTCGATTTCAGTGGGGCCAGTTTCGAGTGGCGGCTCCGGAGGCAGTGCGGACTGGAACCTCGTGCCTGGTGGGCGTATGGGACCTGATTTTCGACATTTGAGTTGGTTGGTGAGAGGGTCGTTGTCAGAGTCATCGTGGAGGTCGTATTCAGCCGTGTGGCGGAGGTGGAGCGAGTTCTGAGCTGCCAGGGACGCTTCCTCGGACGCAGGTTGTCAGCCTTATTGGACTCGCTCTGCGCTGCATGTTAGTCGGCAGCGATGGCTGAGAGAGATTTGGCGGCCCTGTTGTTTCTTTTTCAGTGGTGCGGGTGGCAGGACATTACTAAGGTATTTTGCGGCTCACAGGTTATGAAGGGCTGAAAGAAAGGCCATAGGCCTGACTCTCTGCGCCACGGAAGCGCTTAAGCGTTTGGGGGGCTGGCAGTCAGGACGCTTTCAGCTCTATGTGCGCCCCCACTTGCTGTAGGTCAGCAGCGCAGCTAAGTCATGGTTATATGTTTGTTATCGTTTTAGGTCCTTCTCCTCGCTTTGTCTGGATCGTGGGACACTCGTTTGTTTATTGGGCAGCTGGGCGAGCTTAGAGTAGACCTTAGGGCCATAACCTTAGGTTCTCGTACGATGTAGCCCGGGTATGTTGGAGGGGCATTCGAGGTTTGTCTTGGGACGGGTTGTATGCCGAGTTAGTGCAGCTCAATCGCTGCGTGTCAGGGCCGGTGACTCTGGTGGTTCATGCAGGCGGGAACGATGTCGGACAGCGACGGTCGGTGGACCTGGTACATGTGATCCGGCATGACCTGGCCCACTGTTTTGCATTGTTCAAAGATCTGACCCTCATCTGGTCCAAGATCGTTCCGTGTCCGGTCTGGTGTACTGGGGGGTATGGAAAGGCTTTGGAGCGCTGTAGGCGTAAAGTCAGCATGACTATTTCCCGGTTTGTTCGCCACTTGGGTGGCATAGCGGTTAGGCACTTCGAGCTGGAAGGGGTGAATGACAACGTGATGAGACGGGATGGGGTTCATTTGTCCCCCATAGGTTTAGACATTTTTAACGTGGGCCTGCAGGCAGGGATTGAGGCCGTGCTGTCAAACATAGCTAATTCTGAGCCTGGTCCTGCTGCAGAGGGATAACGTTTTGGTGACTCTTTTATAAAAGATATTAGCAAATATCAAAGAACAAAAGTAATAGTATATAAAAAATTTACAATTTAATTAAAGGTTGCACTTACACAAGCCTGCTGTTTTCTAACTTGTGTAAGTGCAACCTTGAATTAAATTGTAATTTTTTTATATACATATTGCACTATCTATAACTTTTGTTCTTTGAAGATCGTTTTTTGGAAGAGACCACCCATCTCAAGTTATCCCTGAGGGGAGACAGGCGCTAATAACTTGACATCTTTTAAGTCCTCTACCACCTGGAGTATACAGTTGCAAGAAAAAGTATGTGAACCCTTTGGAATGATTTAGATTTCTGCACAAATTGGTCATAAAATGTTATCTGATCATCATCCAAGTCACAACAATAGACAATCACAGTCTGCTTAAACTAATAACACACAAAGAATGAAATGTTGCAAATGTTTTTATTGAACACACCATGTAAACATTCACAGTGCAGGTGGAAGTCCAAGGAAAAAGTATTTTTTCTTGCAACTGTATTTTCATATCATAACACACTTTACCATATTGATCCTTTTATTTATCGATTCTATATTGGCCTAGATTCTTTCTGATTTTCAGGTTGTATTATTTTCACTATCCTTATGTGTATTTTATAACCCCCTGCTTGTTTATATATACATTCTGGGATATATTAAAAAAAATAATAATAATTTACATAATCTGTTCCTTGGTGTTTTACCAAGTTAGGGAATTGCCGAAGTCCCAAATTTCAGAAGTTTCTCATGCCTTTCCAATACTGTGGCGGATCGGAATACTCATTTTTTTTTAACAGATTACAGTGACTGAATGTTAGATCCAACTATTTTCCATTGTTTACTCTCTCTATGGGTCCATTCCATTACAATCTTTTTGCATCATGCCTCAACTGCGAACTCCCAGAATTTTTCATTTGGCGTCCAGACCCAGAGGCTCTAGTTGAAGATGTGTTTCTCCAATGTTGGGACAAGGGAATCTGTTTTGTGATGATGTCTTGGGTTCTCCATCAGACATATGTACAGAAAATCACCATAGTGTTAGTGATGCCTCTATGGTTGTCACAACCATGATTTCTCCAACTTCTGAGTATGTTCATAGATTATCCGAAACTCTTTTCCATGCATTGGGATTCTCTGCGAGACCCCATTGAGGACCATTATCCTCTAGTTGTGACGGGCCAACTACCCTTTTAGGCGAATCTCATTAAAACATTTTTAAATTCTACTGGAAATATCCTTTCTGAAGCATGGGCACCCAACCCGGCACAAGAGCTAATTATGGATCAGCCTGGAAAATTTTAATTAGTTGATGCATAGAAGAGGGTGTGGATCCGGTAGATTCAAATTTAGCTAACTCGCTTTTTTTTCTCTTTTGACTCAGGAAATGCATATCTCACTATTAATGTCTATTGTTCAGCTTTATCAGCTCATCATAATCTGATTTAATTCTCTCCCAATTGGTAAACACAGTCTAGTCTGTTGACCTATGAAGGGTATTTGGTCTAAGTGTCCTCAGTGTCC